TTACCAGATTCCTTGGCTTTGCTCCTCTCTGCCTCAGTGCTGTTCCTGTCCATCTCCATTCCTCCTGTCAACTGCTTCACTGTCTCCAGCATCTCCCTCCGCTGCTCCTCCTGTGCCTGATTGTCGAGCAGCAGCTCCTTACTGCTGCTGCCCCGGAGGAAGGTGTTGGGTCGGGACAGGGACGGCGGCAGAGGTTTGTCGTTCTTCTCCCTGCCCGTGCTCCCACGACTGCAGAGCGACAACACGCGATGAAAGGTTAGAACAGGGACTCGATGGCTTCACAGTAACTGCAGGGAAAACCACAGCCCAAACCCAGCAGCACTGGGGACTCCATTTTCACACCTGTCATTACACACGATACTACCAAAAGTAACTCAGTCCCAGAGATGTACAAACACAAACACCCAGAGTGGACAGGCAGAGCCAATACTTCCTGGAGAACACATGGAAAAACAGGGAAGCCCCTACAGCACCTGTTCTATACATGGAACGGTGAACTTCATAATGTAAGGGCTCTGTTCTACTGTGAAATGGGATCCGATATTTGGATTGGATATTGGGAAGGAATTGCTCCCTGTGAGGTGCTGAGGCACTGGCACAGGTTGCCCAGAGAAGCTGTGGCTGCTCCATCCCTGGGAGTGTCCCAGGCCAGGCTGGATGGGGCTTGGAGCAACCTGGGCTAGTGGAATGTGCCCCTGCCCATGGCAGGGAGCGGGACAAGGTGAGGTTTAAGGTCCTTCCAGCCAAACCTTTCTGGGATTCTGTGAGAGTTGTATTTTTTACCCATTTATTGAAAATAACTTCCAACCAGGGAAGGCTCCCAGCAACACATGACAGGGATCTGTCCTGTTAATTATTATGTTAATGAGTAAGGCAGGCAAAATCATACCTAAATGGAATAATTTCCAGGAGAGCCCAAGTTCTAGGTGAAATAGGAGGGAAACATTAGCGGCAGAAGCCACAAAAACACTCCGTCAGCTTGTGTGTACTGGGACGAAGAACCCATGACATTTGAGATGAACTGCACACTTACAATCCATGTCTGGAGTTAATAAATTATTTATTGAGGGTTAATACATGTTTCATGCTACAAGCTGGAGTGGCTGCAGCCCTGATGAACTGGGGTGAGAGAGAGAGAGCCCTGTGCAGCCTTTTGTGGGATGCAGGAACTCAGTCAGGCTCAGTCACACCTAATGGGAAGGGACAGACATGGTTTTAGGCTACATTTCTGCAAGGTTTTAAGTGTGGTTTCTTTTGACAAATAAACCTACTGACCTGGCTGAACTCGCAGCCTTAAATCCAGCCTACTTATTGCTACATTTTATCTGAAGAGTTTATCTGTTGCAAACTACCACCCTTAGCTGAAGGGGGAAGTGGAAACTAAAACATTCATCAAAACAGCTTTAAAAATTTAATATCACTCATCTTTCCTAGGATATTATAAAATACACATGTGTTTTAAGTTAACTCAGAGAGGAAAAAAAAAGACACAGCCATGGCTGGAAAGGCAAGGAATTCTCCTCTTGCTGAGTGCTGGAAACTAGAGCAGCAAGTGCAAAGTGCAGATGTTCACAGAGGGCAGAGGAGTCCCCGTGGAGTGACACTTACCTAGTTAAGGCCCTGCGAGAATCTAGTTCTGAAGATGCAGATGAGGCAGATACAGGTGAGACTGGAGGCTGCAGGGCAGAGAATCTGTTCAAACTAGTGGCGCTTGGTCGCAAGGAGTCTGGAGATTGAGGAGACAACAGAGCCACAAGGTCAGGAGCTGCTGACACTCTGGCATCACAAATGGAAGCAATAGCTGCTTTCGGAGTGATGGGGAGAGAACTGCAGGGAAATGGCTGGTTCTGCCCCAATTTAACCTTGTCAGGAGGTCACACAGAGAGGAGAGGAGCCTGAAGTCAGACCTCATTAGGGTCTACAACTGCCTCCCGAGGGGCAGTGCATGGGCAGCACCGATCTCTGCTCTCTGGACAGGGACAGGAGCCAGGGAATGGCTGGAGCTGTGTCAGGGCAGGGTTAGGTTGGGTATCAGGCAGAGGTTGTTCCCCCAGAGGTGTTTGGGCACTGAACAGCTCCCCAGGGCAGTGGTCACAGCCCCAAGGCTGACAGAGCTCCAGGAGTGTTTGGCCAATGCTCTCAGCACAGGGTGGGATTGTTGTGCAGGGCCAGGAGTTAGACTTGATGATCCTTGGGGGTCACTTCCAACTCAGGATATTCCATGACTCTGTGGTTCAATGAACCTCATCCAACCCTGCTCTCTGGCAGCAGAGCTGAGGTGAGGCTCCATCCCAACTTACCCATCTCGCTTGCCTTGGCTCCACCACTGCTGCCCTTCCCCCAGCTGCCCAACTGGGCTTTAGGCACGAGCTGAATCTTCTCATCTATTGTGGGCTGTAAAACACACCAGGATGTACCATTACAAGGGCAAATCCTACAGTATAATTATAAATGGGATATTTTTTGGCAACAATCCCTATCTTGTGAACTCCAAAATACACTTTAATGCATTTTTGGAAGCCCAGACCCTGGCCAAAGAGAGAGGACACAAACAACAAAGGGCATCACAAACAGTCTCTTCCAAAGTGTCAGTGAGAGACATTCACAGTGAGCAGAAGCTTCTTTTCACTGGGAATTCTGAAGCTTAGCAAGGTGGAAAAACACAGTATATCAGTACTTGAAAGATGTTCAGTTTGTTTGTGATGTGTAAATCAGTTCCACTGTCCATTCAAACCTCAGTCATGGCTTTGGGGGGGAATCTGCAGGGCAACAAACAGAATCCAGAAGGCAAAGGACAACAGCAGGTTGCAGAACTTGGAGGGAAAAAGTGGTGTCTGACAAGAAGAGAACATTGATTTTACAACACTCAGTGGGTGAATTTATTGACAAGGAGGTTGTGACCCCACAGATCTCTGGTGAGCTTCACTCTCCTTCCCACAAAGCAGCTGCTGTGGAACTAGCTCCATTTGTATGGAAGGGAGAAGGGCATTTCCCAGGTGAGCTGTAAGCCCAGGCAGAAGCAGGCTGAACCCTCCTGGTGATCACGCTTTGGAGTCTGTTTTATGACCTTCAGAAGTAACAAACTGACTGGATCTGCAGAAGGACTGCACTCTGTCCAGGTCCTGCTTTACAGCTCACCAAGAATCCAGGCACTGAGAGTAAAATTCAGGAAGAGTGACATTAAGTGGAACAAGGGAATGCTTAGGAGTCACCCTGATTTATGCTAAAGGCCAGAGTCCTCCTTGGCGAGAAAACCCAGAGCTGTTCTGAAGATCATTAAAAAAGGAGAAATATCCCACTTGCCTAACCTGCAGTCTGAAAAAATGTCCCAGACCCACCGTTCTAATGGTGAAGTAACAGAAAGATGCCCATCTGGTGGATGGGTGGGAAGGTTTATCACACAGTGGGGGATACAACCACACCAAGTCCAGGAACACTCTACAAGCTTCTCCCATACTACTCCAAACTTTAAGGCCTGGAGTGCTGCCACCTGTGACACATCAAATGGGATGTGGCATCCTCATTCTGCTGAGGAGCAGCATCAGAGCAGGGTCTTGAGAACCTGAGACAGCCAAGGGTTTCCCTCAGACAGGGACCCCTCTGTACCAGCAGGTGATGTGCGATGTCCCTACCACATACGATGCCCGGACTCATATCCCCAGCCCTGAATAAAATGCAGATTGTCCAACTATGAGAACTTCTGGGTGACTAAAAGGACACTACGAACCTCAGAAAGCATATCTGCATCCTCCCTCCCCTCAGAAAAACAGAACAGGAACATTCAGAAGACAATAGAGCCTTCTTTGTGCTTTATTTATGCACAGTATTAACTTCGGGGATTTAAAATGTCCCAACCCTAAGTTTTGACCTGTACACACCATGCTGGTCTTTCCTGGACTGACAGATACTGTAAGGCAAGACCTCAGCATTTCTATTGCTCTGAAGGAGCCTTGTGCTAGCACCTACCTTGGTGATTTTAAGGAACTTGGTGGGGTCCAGCACTCTGCTGTTCTTTGCCCCCTGCACAGTGTTCCAACCGCCTTCATCGACCCGTGGGACACCTGCAGATGACAAACACAACCTCTCTCAGCTCGCACCACTGCCCCACTGCCTGTGAGCTCTGCAGGACAGGAACCAAGCTGGCATGTTC